CTTCGTCCAGTGGTAGTCCCTCATTTTGACAACCATCTTCTTCAGATAAGACCTGATTACATGGACGACAATGCTAGACCACACAGATCTCAGGCAGTTTTGGCTTATTTGCGTCAATAATCTATTGCCACTCTTCCTTGGCCGGCCTGTAATCCAGATCTTAATCCGATTGAGCATCTCTGGGACATTCTTGGCCGGAAAATCAGACATCATGATCCCCTGGACTTGAACCCGCGCTTCATGAAGGTTGTACTGAATATGAGGCGTAGGGTTGAAGCTGTGGTCAATGTCAGAGGGTTATACACACGTTACTGACGTTTCTGTCTTGCAATAGACTCTGCACTCCCTAAGGTGTCTATGTGACACCTGATATGGTCTGCTGATATCATGACAGTTACATGACGAAAAAAGATTTTAAACGTTTTCTAATCCTTCAATTTCTGGTCTTCGGTAAAATTCCTTTCTGCTCATATTCTTTTTGAACACAAGATAAACTTGCTTTGGGACAAATTTTGCATCAAAAGAGGTTTACATGTACGGCTTATAACACTCGTATATCTCGTTACAGTAGTCATAATTAAGTGCCAAAAGTAACAGCTCACAAATTTGGTGGGTGGCACTTAACTTTTGTGCATGTGTATATATTCACTGGATTGTTGTGTTAGCAGTAATGTATTTGCAGTTTCATGATGACTTCACACCTTTGAAAAAACACTATTGTCATTCATTATTCGTCCATGTTAGAACTTACACATCATTGCTTACGTAGTGATGATAAATGATGACGTTAAATGTATAGCCATCACAAACACATGCAAAGGCAAGTCAAGCATTCACCTGAAAAGAGGATACAACCTATATCATACTATATAGCATTGTGAATTGTCAGTTATTTGTGAGTTTAATCATTCATTTTGTTGTTGAATAAAGTGAGTGACTTTCTGTGTGATGCGTATGGGGTTCAGAATGACAGCACTTGCATAACGATCGTACAGTTGCAATATGTATTGGGGGGATATTGGGCGGGGGGTTGGGTGGGGCAGTCAAAGGGTCACCCTTTTCAGGCAATTATTTGGCTACATCGCCCTATCTGCCTGATACTGCAATGAGATTCATATAACATATCAATCGGTGAAGACTAAACATGTATATCTTTTTTTTTAAATATTCCATCCAATATCTTCATACGATATATGTAGGACATGGTCACCAACAAAAATATAGAACCGGACTAATTCAAGTTAGGTTCGAAGTGGTGTGTTCCTGGAACAAACAAGTGCACTCAACTACCAGATTTTTCTTCTACGACAGAGGTGCTCAAAACGTGGCAAACAGATTGTACACTTGAGGACACATTTTACTCAGGGTTCCCAATCGCACTCGACCATTAGTATTATTGCTTTTCAGTATCCACAGTAGGATGTAAGCTCTTGCTTTAATGCGGCATTTATGACCAGATCGGGAATGTGTGGTCTACAATGTGCTGAACGCCTAAGGGTTGAACTCAACAATAGGGTGACAATGAGTTCAGTGGGTATCGATCTGTGATTTGCAGACTTTGGAACAGAAACAGAACATTCTAGACGGCGTGTTTCGAGCGTATAAACTTGTTGAATTGCCGGGGATCTCGTTCAGCGCTTTCAGATGAGGTGGGGTGAAATTGGGTTTAACGTCGCGACCAAGATTATTGAACTAATATAGCGACGTGCATGCACGTGTGTGTTGTGGCTGCTTGTACTAGTCCGGAATGATGCCAATTTATAGTGCTAGCAAACTGGGATACCATGCCATAGTTTATCATGAATACCTCACTCAGACACAGTATACTGACTCCGAGCCGAACAGTCCTTGTTTTAGCCCCTTAATGTCGAGCGCCAGACAGGGTAACAACCAACTTTTAACGGCTTCCAGATGAATCCAGATTCACTCTCGACTATCAAGATTGGCGGGGGCGTGTCTGGAGCTGTCCTAGGGGTTGTGTTAGGAATGTCCACTCAAGAGAACATGGCAGATTTTGGGGTCGGTTTCTAATGATATGGGTCAGGATCACTTTGGCTGTCAGAATCCCACTGCATATTGTTCATGGAAGGTTTACTTGACGATACTTTCGAGGCATTATACTGGGGCCACTCTTGGTGCCCTTTGTGCTTAATGCTGGTCCGCGTTTTATACTTCAAGACGATAATGTTCGCGCCCACAACCTCCTGTACAACACATCATCAGAATACAATGGCCAGCCATGATCTTTCCCACATAGAGCAGATTTAGGACATTGTCGGGAGACGTATATGCCAACGTCAAAGGCCGACGGTTAAGTAAGCAGAACAGGGCCAGGCGCTGCATGGGGAATGGCGAATACTCCCTGTCTCATTTGGCACATTGCTTCGCAAATGCTGCGGCGTATAAACGAGTGTTTGATCAATCGTAGGGGCATCACCAAATATTAATCAAGTCATTACAAACTTATGTTTTTGACTACATAACCCTGTTTCCTTTCTTGGTTGTTTGCATCATCTGAAGACACTGCCAATCTGTTGATTGTCTCATTACATTAGGTCCGTCCACTATTACTACCCTCACTGGATACATCTTTGTATTTCTGTAATCATCTCTTTTAATATTCCCTTCATTTCCGGGAGAGTACATAAGGTGACCATATTTATAAATTTTATGAGTTAAAGTTACCTGATATTATTCATAGTTTTGTCAACGCGCATTTTGACGGGGAATGAGCTCTTGGGGGAGTAAAGGACAAAATCATCATCACTGTCCCGGAACGCTTTACGCACAACATGTAAACAATAAACAACAATTGCACAATTAGCGGAATACCTGCTCTGACAACAGAAACACAGCAATGAGCGGACCTTCCAGCTCAGTCATACATCAGGACGTTTCCTACGAGCGGCACATCCTCCTCGAGGTCGTCCCTACCCCTGCACTCGGAATACCAAGCTTGAATGACACCGTGTAATAGTAACACATATATACTAATGAACAACCATGGACAGACAATGATGTTTCTCTGGACATGGGACTTCTGGGGGTGACGAACCGACACAGCTCAGGGGATGAACAGTTAAGGCAATAAATGTCATAGTATAAATAACAGTAATTAACGGGAAGTGATATAGTAGCCTAGATTGGCTGCCAGTCAATATACAATGAAACGTTGGTGAGGATTAACAACGGGGATTAGCGCCTAATACATAATGACAATTACGTTATAGTTGGGGCCCTTAGGGATATTTTGGTGCAGATTCTTGCAAAAGCACCAAATTTGGTACAGATGTTGGTTATACCATACTAATTCGATATCTGCCGGGCCCCACGAAGGGCGAGGTCCGGGGCCGCTATTTTGGCTAAAAACAAAATGGCCGCCACCATGATTGGCGGTCGATCATTGGTCAATTACTAATCGGCCTAGAATCACATGTAATACCACTTTTTAGGGGTATTTTGGGTCAGGGAATCCAATTATGATATTATTTCAATGATTCGAGGTCAAGGTCAATCACCAAGGTTTCTTAAAGGTCAACCAGGGTCAAAACCTAGTAATGGGGAGCTTAGGGGACATTTTGGATCACATTACCCTTTAAAATGAACTAAAATTTATCGAGCTGTCGATGTAACAATGCCATTTGTATTTATGGCGGGAGTTATGAAGGGCGGCCATATTGGCTAAATCCAAAATGGCCGCCATCCGGATCAGGGTCAGTCATAGGTCAAAAACTAGAAGGCCTAGATTCATATGTGATACCACTTTTTATAGGTTATTGAGGTCAGTGAATTCAATTCTGGTATTATTTCACTGATTTAAGGGCAAGGCCATCCCTCAAGGTCAATTTTGAGGCAATTTTAGGATCATTTCCGGGTGAGATTCAGTACATGAAAACAAATCAGTCATTTTAAACGATATCCCAACGAAATTTCAAAACAAAGAATGATATAAACAACTTGTTTATTAACAACCTTTTATCAGACATTACACTAAGTTCTCAGACATTACACTATCAGAGTACATTGTATACATTTAATGGTGAGAATTAACCTATTTTTTTATCTGTCTCTTATGTTTAGTCACTTCCCTCGACATTATTATTGCAACCTCCCTCGCATTTACAAAGAGATGTGCATCGTACTCCAGCACGGTAGCATTTACATCGTCCGGCGCATGCCTTTATGCAGCCGCAATGTAAAAGGATTGCACGTGCATTTGACGCATCACTCAGTGTCGTCCACAGCGGATGCCATGAGTTGCCATCAGTCTTGTGCCATCCCCATTCGCTGAAGTCAGGGATATCCTGCTGTGCCAGATTGGCCTGGCTCCAGTAGAAGCATGCTTGTAGAAGTGCTCGTTTAACATGTTGTAATAGAGCGGCTTGGGTCGGTGGCAGACTTTCTAGGGATTTTTGTCCCACTGGTGAATAGTGTATGCCTGGCGTCATTAACCCGAGCAGCTCCACATCCCTTGCTATACATCAAGACGGTTCAATGACCTTCATGTGTGCTGACTCGAGACTGAATAGCGTAGGTTCAGCTGCCAGAGCCAATAATGTTTGGGTCAGCTCTGGACAGCTGTTCCAGGCTGCCCATGCAGTTTTCTTACCACATCCAAGGAATTGTGATGTGGTATCACATCCTGTAAGGCTGTGAAACAGTGGTAATGCCAGGGACGCAGACATACCTAGATCTGATGAGATCTGGTGGATAGGAATGTCACGGTAGTTTTTTCCACTTCCAAATCCAACCCAGAGCTCTGAGAAACCAAGGGTGGCGAAGAATCTGAGGGTGAGGACGACGATGTCACTGTCAACGGTGCGCACAAAAGCGATTTTGTGCCCCTGTTGAGCAGCATGCATGAGATGTAATATGATTCGCGTGTCGGCCTCGGAATGGTTGCATGGCGTTAGTCCGGTGATATCGGAGTCGCTCGTGTTCGTGAGGACAGTTTCAAAGTGGGTTGTGATGAGATTTACTCCGGCCATGTCATCACTCTTTCATATCTCTCTGCTGATGAAAGAGAACAATTCCTTTTTGTTCGCAACATTTTTCAGGAAACCGCTATTCCAATCCCGCTTTGGGACTGGAGTCTTGCCATCACCAATTCTCGTTCGTGGGCCGTTTCCACGTCGCTGTTGTGTGAGACCTTTCAGGTTATTGTCCTCTGGATATGTATCCCATACAGCATCAATGCGTTGGACACTAGTACCGTTAACTTGTGACTTCAAGAACGGAATGATGTGGAATGACACATACTCATTAAACGTCTTTGCTCTTGTTGGACGAACTAGATGAATCACTGCGGCCATATCAAGGACAGCAACCGTTGCTTGTTTGACAGCATCTGCACGGCCAGTTGGTACATTGATACATTGAAGAATATCTGACTTTGTTCCAGATCTTAGTGATCCTCGATCTGCCAAGCTTGGTGGTTCTCGCTGATTTTCAAACTGAAAGAATTCCCGGATATCGGCATCGGGTCGCGACTGCAGTGACAGAAAAAGCTGTGTGACTAGGGCCATGTTTTGCTTCTGCGTGCTGTTATCTCGCTTGCCTGTTTTCTTGAGATCAGGCCGGTTGGCAAATGTTAACATGCTGTTTCGCTTGATGATATCGAACACAGGTACTGAAGTTTCTTCCAGCCTTTCCGAGACATATGTTGCATGAAGCACTTGACCTGTTTCGTGCATGTGTGCCAGTGAGGTGGCGACGGCTGGATCCATGACATTCTGTGTGTCTAGTGCAACAAGCTTATTGGTTTGATCGACCCTGATCCGAGTGGCACCATTTTGAATTTGGCCCTTCTTGGCGCTTGGCAGAAATTCAATGAGCACTGTTACATCAAACAGGTCAACAAGTTTTAACAAATTTCAATTCATTTTGGATGGAAATGTGATCCAAAATATCCAATAGCTCCGCATTACAAGGTTTTGACCCTTGATGACCTTTAATGGACCTTTGTGATTGACATTGACCTCAAATCATTGAAATTATATCAGAATCGGTTTCCTTGACCCAAAATACCCCTAAAAAGTGGTATTACATGTGATTCTAGGCCAAATAGTTATTGATATATGATCGACCGCCAATCCTAGTGGCGGCCATTTTGTTTTTAGCCAAAATGGCGGCCCCGGACCTCGCCCTTCTTGGGGCCCGGCAGAAATCGAATTAGTATGGTATAACCAAGATCTGTACCAAATTTGGTGCTTTTGCAAGAATCTGCACCAAACAGCCCCAAAATCCCCCTAAGGGCCCTAACTATTATGGAGACATGCACATGTCATGGCTACAGGGTAATTAGCCTTTTAAATTAAATGTTCTCCAGACATTGGTTGTCGTAAATCAGTCGCTATGACAGTACTTTGAACAATATCTAACATATTGTCAGTGTAGAGGCAAATAATATTTATTTTTTTCTATGCAACAATGAACCACAGTGCATTCGAATTAAGAGCATGCCAATTGTGTATTATTTATGATAATTGTTATTGCGATATTACTTCACTTGAGAGACTTGTGACATTAGATTTGTTATTGATAAGTAACCGTGTTTCCTAGCTATCATGGCCGCATTCAATCCCTTCTTATTTATTGCAGTTATATCTACCATGGCATGTGACAACACACATTTCACAATGTCCTTATTTCCTTCTCGACAGGCCAAATGAAGGACATTTTCCCCATCAGTATTTACTACTGACATATCAGCTCCTCTCTCCGTCAGTAAGTCAAACACACCTCTTGTCCCCGATTGTGCTGCAAGTAACACCGCTGTCATCCCTCCATTTTGTTTACTGTTTATGTCCACAATGTTTTGCGTGAGGACATACTTCACTATCTCTATATCTTCTCCGTCACAGGCCAAATGAAGAATGTTTTCACCGTTAGTATTTACAACTGACAGATCAGCTCCTCTCTCCGTCAGTAAGTCAAACACTTCTCTTATCCCCAGTTTTGCTGCAAGTAACACCGCTGTCATCCCTTCACCTTGTTTACTGTTGATGTCCACAACGTTTTGTTTGAGGACATGCTTCACTAACTCTATATCTTCTCCGTCACCGGCCAAATGAAGAATGTTTTCACCGTTAGTATTTACAACTGACAGATCAGCTCCTCTCTCCGTCAGTAAGTCAAACACTTCTCTTGTCCCCAGTTTTGCTGCAAGTAACACCGCTGTCATCCCTTCACCTTGTTTACTGTTTATGTCCACAACGTTTTGTTTGAGGACATGCTTCACTATCTCTATATCTTCTCCGTCACAGGCCAAATGAAGAATATTTTCATCATAAATGTTTACAACAGACAGATCAGCTCCTCTCTCCGTCAGTAAGTCAAACACTTCTCTTGTCCCCAGTTTTGCTGCAAGTAACACCGCTGTCATCCCTTCACCTTGTTTACTGTTGATGTCCACAACGTTTTGTTTGAGGACATGCTTCACTATCTCTATATCTTCTCCGTCACAGGCCAAATGAAGAATGTTTTCACCGTTAGTATTTACAACTGACAGATCAGCTCCTCTCTCCGTCAGTAAGTCAAACACTTCTCTTGTCCCCAGTTTTGCTGCAAGTAACACCGCTGTCATCCCTTCACCTTGTTTACTCTTGATGTCCACAACGTTTTGTTTGAGGACATGCATCACTATCTCTATATCTTTTCCGTCACAGGCCAAATGAAGAATGTTTTCACCGTTAGTATTTACAACAGACAGATCAGCTCCTCTCTCCGTCAGTAAGTCAAACACTTCTCTTGTCCCCAGTTTTGCTGCAAGTAACACCGCTGTCATCCCTTCACCTTGTTTACTGTTTATGTCCACAACGTTTTGTTTGAGGACATGCTTCACTATCTCTATATCTTCTCCGTCACAGGCCAAATGAAGAATATTTTCATCATAAATGTTTACAACAGACAGATCAGCTCCTCTCTCCGTCAGTAAGTCAAACACTTCTCTTGTCCCCGATTTTGCTGCAAGTAACACCGCTGTCATCTCTTCACCTTGTTTACTGTTGATGTCCACAACGTTTTGTTTGAGGACATGCTTCACTATCTCTTTATCTTCTCCGTCACAGGCCAAATGAAGAATGTTTTCACCGTTAGTATTTACAACTGACAGATCAGCTCCTCTCTCCGTCAGTAAGTCAAACACATCTCTTGTCCCCGATTGTGCTGCAAGTAACACCGCTGTCATACCTTCATCTTCTTTACTGTTTAAGTCCACAATGTTTTTTGTGAGGATATATCTCACGATCTCCAAATTTCCTTTTTCACAGGAACGATGAAGGATATTTTCCTTGTAATCATCTACCTTTGTCACATCGGCTCCTTTCCTTACCAGTAATTTAAACACTTCAGTGTGCCCCAAGAGTGCTACATACAGCAATGGTGTGGCCCCACCCGACAAATCACAGTTGATGTCCACCTTGGCTAGGTTGAGGACACACTTCACTATATCAACATCTCCACCTTTGCAGGCATATTCAAGGAGTTTCGTACTGTCATGTGATTGTGCGATATCAGCTCCTCTCTCTATCAATAACTGAAACACTTTACTCGTCCCTGACATCGCTGCCAGCATTAATGGTGTCTTCAACGCGTACGTTCTACTGTTTATATCGACAATCTTGTGTGTGAGGACATAATTCACTATCTCTACATCTCCTCCTCGACTGGAAAGATGGAGGATATTCTCACCGTCCTCATTTAATTTTGATAGATCAGCTCCTATTTTCACAAGAAAAAACAACACTTCCATCTTTCCAAATAGTGCAGCAAACATCACCGGTGTATTCCCGTAGTCCCCTCTACTTTCAATGTCAATGATGTTCTGTGAGTGGATATACTTCACTATCTCCACGTTTCCCTCTTTACAGGCCACATGTAAGATACTGTTGTTATCATCATCCAATAGACACAGATCAGCACCTTTCTTCACAAGTAATTCAAGTGTCTTTCTGTGTCCTTTCTCTGCCGCTATCATCGCTGGTGTCATACCATTCTTCCCTCTTTTATTGATGTTTGCAATATCTTGAGACAATATGTATTTGACTTGAGGCAGGTCTCCAACGGTGCAGGCATCGATGAGAGTGGTGATAACAGTTGTCTGTCGTTGTGCTTGATTATGTCCCCCTGGAAAATGACATGCAGACATGACACAATGTTTAGGGTTCACTTTTCACCTGCTACTAATGTATCTTTAACAATAAATGTCGGTAAGTAACTTTGATTGTTTCTTTGTTGTTTAATGCCGCACTCAGCAATATTCCAGCCATTTGATGGTGGTCTGTAAATGGAACAGACAATGAAGTGATAGACATCATGGGCAGCGATCTACGCAAATGAGATACGATGACGTGCATCAACCAAATCAGGCAGCCTTACCTCCCGATCCCGTCAGTTGCCTCTTACAACTAAAAAAGTCGCCTCTTGCGGCGTAAGTACCTTTGACACAGGCAGTCGTTCCAGCACGAGTCTCCAGGCATCTGCTCCCTTGACAAGTGTTGAATGCACAGACGCCTGCTCGGACCTGAAAACAGATGTTAGGGGACATTCGGGATTAAGTAATTTTAGTAAGTAATAACACGGTGTAATGTTGACTATCATTTTTTTATGTTAAACCAGAAAATAAATTTGGTCTGACACTGCTTGAATTATAGTTCAGTTGACGTGACTGACCAAAGGGCAGTTCAGAGATATGCAAATGATTTGAACCCAAGGGACGCAACAGCGAATTGTGGCGCCTTAGACGACTGAGCCACCCATGACCCCTAAACTTGATGAGGACAAAACAGGATTCGAACCGACGTCTTACTTAAAATATCCACAATGAAGCTCCTTTGAATTGACAAGCGCAATAGTAGTCAGATAGCAGTCTTTTTCCAGTAGTGAATGGCAGCAAAAAAGAAAACTGTATGAGCCCATGGAACATGATAGATATGAAAATGGTTTATCGTAAGACCTTCACTTCACTTTCATATATATGGTGCAGTGATACAGCTATGCACTTTTCTTTTTACGAGAAGCAGATGATTGTAGGCATTGTGTACAAATCTTACATTTGAAAGACGCGTAGATCCAATGTAGTGTCCTGTCTCTTTCATAAACACTTCTGAGTCCATTTCTGATAGGTGACAAGTTAGATTCTCAATGTTGTATCGAATACCACGACAGCCATACTGTATACACTTGTATTGACATAACTTGACGCCAATGTTCGTGAAGCTTATAGAATCTACCAGCTGTCCGAATACCAAGCAAGCTGCTAACAGGCGACGGATGTTGAGCGTCCATTTCTTAATTGCCATGCTGAAAGATGTATACGAGATGTATACGACAGCCCTGGCTCAGGGATTTCAGGTTGTACAGATTAAAGTGTCAGGCCAAGTCGATTAGCACTAGCGTCGATGAGGGTAAGGAGAACAATGGTGGCTATTGGCTCTCTAATATCAACCATGTATCCACCCCAAGTTTGATAGGTTTCTTCGCATCTTTAGATGATATGTTATCAGTGGTATTCAAATGAATTCGTAATGTCAATGAATGGTAAAAATAATTCGATGTATAGTCTATCACAAATCAGTGAATACAAAATTGATTATGCACAGCTTGGGCAATTTAATAATTGACTTCAATGTTTGTTGCACGTATTGAAGTATTAGCGTAAACAGACATGCAGACTGTGTCAGCCTGTATACACATACCTCCATTAAACCGAAATACTAAAAAATACTAACACAAGCCCCACCTAAGCCATTATCAGGCAAACAGGAAACAGGAGTCCGTTAGCGGGCGTGTCCAAATACTTTTAAGGTTTAGGGCGATATTAACACAAAAGACATTGCAGGGCTAACAGACGGACTGTTCTAACTTATCCTCATGTTAAGACGAATACGTTTTTGAAAAAATATATCACCAAAATAGTGGTCTTGACATTGTTGTTGATATCCCTAGTTCGCCCTTTACACTCATAATCCCACTCACACGGTAGAGGATGACCAAATTATGGAAACACAACATGTTCATGCACCTGAAACACAAATGTCAAAACGTATAGTGTCATCCTGGGTAAGTGGCTCAGTTTAAATGTGCCTCTGTTCACCCACCAGAGAATGGATACCCAATATGTGAGGGCGATATGAAAACGCCAGTCGGCAGCTTGGTTTGCATACTCCCCAAGGAGTTGAAAATGTTAACTGGAATGCTTACGGATCTACTGGTTGGAGAAGAAATACATGAGTGAGTGAGTTAAAAATTTAAGTCACATCGGCAGTATTTTAGCCATATCGTGACTATCAAGGTTTAACTGACACGCCGCGATATAACTGGAATAATGTTAAAAGTGGCGTTAAACCCAACTCACTCACTCATAAAAACATTAGCATAATACATGACATGCATTATAATAACGGGCTATAAGATCGCCAGCAACTGATCACTATACTTGGGACCATGGGGACTAACAGTACTTTAGCTTCCTGCATGGACTCCAGACGGATTTATTATCTTGCCTTCAGGTGTTGGCGATTATTGACAATTTTATCCAAATTAAAAAGAACATATAGTCTACGATTTAAACTGTAGTTGGAATTACATACTTTGAATAATATGGACTTACGATACCCTCCATGGGACAATAATTTTACACTACTTTAACCCCCTTTGAGGATACAGCCACGATCAATCACAGATATTGATTTATTCCACTAGTGCTTGAAAGTAATTTATTTTATACAAAACAAATTTACAACATTCATTAAACAGTTTTTTTCTTTTATAAAGCTAATAATTAAATGAGAACCAACAGTATTAAAACGATCCTTCAGCGATAAAACCTTGAAATATTTATCCCTTGTGGTGGAAAAATCAACACAGTCAAGCAGGACATCACAAGGGATGCAGAACTGAGGATCCTCACTTTTTTAACAAAAACTCATTTGTGTAGCGAGAATGGCCAATACGACATCGTCTTAAAATGACCTCTTCATATCTGGACTGACAACCCGAGTAGATGTAACCGATATTTGGTTTAATGTCATGTAATTTATTTATACTTACTTAGGTGTCCCACTTCTTTTGCATCAGATCTCGGATATACGATCCAGTCACAGGCTTGTAATCAGTGCATGGACTAAGAAGTGGAGTCACAGATTTGTTGAGCGCTGCTTTAGCTGCAGCATCAGCCATTGTGTTACCTATGATGCCAACATGACTTGGTAACCAGGAAAAAACGATGTCGTATTGGCCAGAGCAAGTTCATTGTACAATTCAGGAATTTCGATTAAAAGTGAATGTTTGGTCGATTGATTTGTTATTGCCTGAAGACAGGACAGAGAGTCGGAAAGTATAACACATTGTTTATGCTTTGATTGCTTACTAATGTATTCTAGTGCTGTTAATATCGCCCGAATCAAGTTAAAAGCGGACGAGGGCTCTGTACAGTTGGGGGGGATTTTCTTATCTCCTCCCAACTTACCATTTGAAACTTCTTTTATTAAATCGAGAGCCTTTAGTCTTTAAAGAATTTATGTGTGGCAGAAAGGTCAAGTAATGGTCATAAATAATACCAAGAAACTTGGCCTCTTTAACAACATTGAGAGGAGCACCATCCAAAACAAGATCAGGGTCCTTATGCTGCTTATATTTCCTACAAACATGAATGCAGTTGGTCTTGGCTTTTGAAAATTTTAAACCATTTTCAAGAGGCCATTTTTGGATTTTATTTAGGGACAATTGTAGCTGCCTTCCACTCGCATGCATATTTTTATCACTACCAGAAATATTGAAATATTCCACAAATAAGGATCCATCAAGTGTATCGTTTAAAACCTTTGATAAACTGCTCATCTTTACGCTAAACAATGTTACAGACAAGATACTGCTTTGTGGGACACCCTGATCCTGAACGCAATTGTCAGACAAGGTTGAACCCACACGAATTTGAAATTGTCTATTTTATACAAACATTGAGATAAAAATAGAGGCAAACGGACCCTTAAACAAAATCCTCTCGATCTTTTAAAATACCATACTTCCATGCGGGATCTCGCAACGTACTAAATGTAGTAAACGTACTAAATGATCGATGGCACTACGAAAACACATTGAATATTAGTAATGGGATTGTTGGTTTCCAAGTACCAAACTAAACGATTATTTATCATACGTTCCATAGTCTTACAGACGCAGCTGGTAACGGATATTGGCCTGTAATTGGAGAGATCGTTATGATCTCGACCAGCATAGGTATAGGAATGACAGTAGCATTTCGACATAATGATGGAAAATTATCAGAAGTCCAAATATTGTCAAAGATTTTAGGCATTGTTTCTAAACACGATTCGGATAAATGTTTAAGGAGTTGATAAGGAATATTATCTGGCCCTGCAGCTGTATCATGAGCTTGCCCAAGGGCGGTATGGAGCTCATTAATGGAAAATACTTCATTATAATCCTCACCATTATCTGAATTAAAATTAAGCTTCTTTTTATCTTGCTGTTACTTAAATTTCTGAAAGTCAGGTAGAGGATTGGATGATGAGGAATGTTGAGCTATTGTTTCACCTAATGTATTAGCAATATCACATGTATCTGTTAGACGAATGTCACCCTCCTTCAGATTGCAAACACTGGAGTTGGACCCTTTCCTTTAACTTTCTTAACCATACGAAACCTTTGAAATAGGTGTTCGTGAATTAACATACTTTTGCCATGACTGTCGTTTATTTTTCTTTAATGAGCGACTAGATTTGGCGTTTGAAATTATAAATTGATTTAAGTTATGAACTGTTGAATGGTGATGAAGATATTCTTCTGCCTTCTTCCTATCCTTTCTAGCAAGTTTGCAGTCCATGTTAAAACCATGGTTTATGGAAATGAGGAACCGTAGAGGACTTTGGGATACATTCATCAGCTGTTATGTTTAATTAGTCAAAAAGAAAAAAAGTGAATAGGGTCATTACCATTTACACATAATTAAGGCCGTAATCTTTCAGAGCCTATTGTATGAAATAAAGACCAATCGGCCTTTGTAAAATTCCATTTTGATGATGATGGTGGAGCATCTGTTGGATTTATGGTTGTAATTACAAAAGAAAAGTGGCCACTTCCATAAAGGTCATTGTTGACTGACCTTTCCAATTCATTAAACAGATTGGCATCTGCAGCAGATAAATCCAGAGAAAAGTATGAGCCAGTTGCATACTGCATAGTTGCATGGGTTAGAGCCATCATTAAAAATACATAAATCATTATTTGAGAAAAATCCTCAAGTTTGTTCCTTGAGTTCCTCAATCCTCCTTCTATTGGTTATATTGCTGCCCCAAAGTGGAGTATGGCCATTAAAAACTCCCCTATAATAATGCAGGGTTGAGGGAGTTGGTCATATGTTGGATTTATGGTTGTAATTACAGTAGGAAAGTGGCCACTTCCATAAAGGTCATTGTTGACTGACCTTTCCAATTCATTAAACAGATTGAGCTATTGTTTCACCTAATGTATTAGCAATATTAAATTTATCTATTAGACGAATGTCACCCTCCTTCAGATGGCAAACACTGGAGTTGGACCCTTTCCTTTAACTTTCTTAACCATACCAAACCTTTGAAATAGGTATTCGTGAATTAACATACTTTTGCCAAGTTTGCAGTCCATGTTAAAACCATGGTTTATGGAAATGTGGAACCGTAGAGGACTTTGGGATAAATTCATCAGCTATTATGTTTAATTAGTGAAAAAGTGAATAGGGTCATTACCATTTAGACTTAATTAAGGCCGTAATCTTTCAGAGCATATTGTATTTGTAAAATTCCATCTTGATGATGATGGTGGAGCATCTGTTGGATTTATGGTTGTAATTACAGTAGGAAAGTGGCCACTTCCATAAAGGTCATTGTGGACTGACCTTTCCAATTCATTAAACAGATTGGCATCTGCAGCAGATAAATCCAGAGAAGAGTATGAGCCAGTTGCATACTGCATAGTTGCATGGGTTAGAGCCATCATTAAAAATACATAAATCATTATTTGAGAAAAAAACCTCAAGTTTGTTCCTTGAGTTCCTCAATCCTCCTTCTATTGGTTATATTGCTGCCCCAAAGTGGAGTATGGCCATTAAAATCTCCCATAATAATGCAGGGTTGAGGGAGTTGGTCATAAAGGGCATGAAGATCTCACTGACGTAAAGATGATGATGGTGGAATACAGAGTGAACACATAGTAAAAACAATATGCAGCATAACAAGGACTGCAACTGCCTAAAGAGGGGTATTGAGCGGAACAGGGCTATGAATGGTGCTCAGACGCACCAAAATAGAAGATCCTCCAGTAGCCCTCTCAACAGGAGGAGAGAAGCAATGGTGGGAATCATAATGTCTGAAATCAAATGTATCTGTAGATGTTAGGTATGTTTCTTGCAACATAAAGCTGATGGAGTGTAATCTTGAGTTAAATCACTAAAATTGTTTCGGAATCCTCTACAGTTCCATTGTATAATATGTGAAGACATTACGTCTTCGGAATCTTAATAGGGGACAAGTTGTGTGTCCTGTGGTGGCTGATGTCAGAAAAGTCTATATCCACAAGGGATCCAAACTTGTGAAACAACTGGATCTGATTGTCTGATTCTGTCGAGGGTCTCCCACTCTGATATTTCTTATATGTTCTAGGTTTGGGTTTGTTTTTTGTGATTTGTATTACATTTGTTTCAAATTGCGTTTAAGGATTTGACTTAGATAATCATTGGTCCTGGGATGTTGTTTGGGAACTATTTCTAGAACAGTTGATAAGTCTGTAGATAGAGAAATATACTCCGATTCAGGTTTAGCCCGGGTATAGTCTGTCTGACATGCAACAGCTGTGCATGAAACAGGATGTAAAACACGTTATGGGATAGGTTGTGTATTTTGCCGGGAAACAGCTGCAGAGTAGGAACTTAGTGAAGAATTTTCTTCGTCCAGAATACATCTTCTTCGAATCTTGAAATAAGATAAAACATGAACAGAACATCTCAACAATTTTGGGATTCACGTTTGGATCTTGGACAATCTTTGGAAGATCAAACATGTCTACTACTACAGTTCACACAAGAGCAATCCTTGTTACATTGGTCTAGACAGTTGCCACAACATCGATGGCAAGCAGCCTGCTCATGACATGTTCTAGATCCATGGCCAAAATGTTGACACTTGCAGTATCTCGGTGGAAAGCCAAAAGTAAATATGTAAGTGTTGGTCTTTGTAACCTCACCATTTCTCTTTGTAGAAAAGCCTTTTACAGCCATTACATTTTGGCTCTTTAGATCGTCTAAAATGTCATCCTCAGTCATGTCAGCAAGGAATCGGCCTCTGTCTCGCACAATTCCCTTACTGCTGTTCAGGGACCTGTGCGGGGAAACAACAACAGGAAGATGGAAGATGGAAGAAGACTTATAACTTGCTTGTGCCGTCTACATTTGATCAACGAACATCTACTGCTTAATCTTTTTGCATCTTCGACATCACCAGTCATGCCTTGTATAGCCTTTTCAACCGCAAATGGATTAAGCTTCAGAGGAGTGTCATCCAAAGAAGAATCAACCAGGGTCTAGACCAATTTTCGAAAGTAACAGGAGACGTCCGCGGATTATGATCTTCAGTATCATGTGATTTATGAGAACCTTTTTTGACATTGGGGATTGGGGGTTCCATGTTGTTTGTAAGTGTATTTCATCCTCTTGGGTCCCCACCCACTATGGAGTGTCAACAAGGACAATGTCATATGCCTGTGGGCCTCCGACAGGCGATACCAAGAGGGTATACTCAAGCAGAAACATCATAAAAATGTTCCACAAGATTGACCCATGAGCCACCGCCTTCTGGGCATTGGGACTGAAGGCAAGTATAGAAATGTTTCAGTAATAGTTAAAAACACATTTCAAATGTGTGCGTTTATAAAAGTATAATAAAATGATGTGTTGTTCAGGGTGAAATAAAATCAAAAGTTAAAGTTAAATATTACTCACTCACTCATTTACTTTAATAATGTAAATGCTCATTTAATTATTGGCTTTTTAAAAGAAATAGAATTAATGGATAAATTTTGAATAATTGCTATGTGTTTTAAGATTAGTGTAATATTATCATCAACTTAAATTTCTTTTGAAATACCAAAGTGTGCGTGAAACATTTAAAGCACACGGCATGACATTACCAGCCGATTGATAGAATCGATCCCATTCTACCTCCCGTCTAGGCAAAGTTAGGGTCGAAGTGGTGTGTTGGAGTAAGGAGCACTGTTGCCGGGTCCGTGGCCCTCAACCACTAGAATTCCTCCTCTGCCGACACAGGGTCGTAGCCCACGGCAAACAGGCTGCCCAGTTCGGTCGACTTTCACGACCAGCAATGGGGTGCTGAATAAGTGAGTGTGTTGGGTTTAACGCCGCTTTTAACAGTATTCCAGTCATGTTGCGGCGAATCAGCTTACTGTGGGAGGAAAGCCCGAAGTGATGCAGGTCTCGGACGTATACCACTTCGGTGAAACCCACGAGCACGGCAAACCTCGACAAACCTAGACAAACCTAGAAACATAATCGTGGCGAACCAGGATTCGAACCCACAATCATAAGTCTCTGGCATGTCCAAGGGACGCAACTCTTCACAGCTAATCGCGGCGCCTTAGACGACTGGACCACCCGTGCCCCCTGCAATGGGGTGCTGAGGACACATTGTTTTTTAACGTTCCCGGGTCCCCCACAGGGAGAACACTTACTAGATATTAGTTAGATATAAGTTTGATAATAGCTTTGAATTGCATCAGATAAACCATTTTCATCATTAATAACGATAGATTGGGGTGGATTTGCGTACAAAATGGTATATACATTATTGAGAAGGATAGATAGGCGAGTTTTTATCGGAAATATTATATTCCTTAAAAACGATAGATTGTAGAAGATTTCGTATCAAATATAAAATATTAAAAAGTCAGAACAAAAGTAGGCATTGAGCTTGAAATAAACATGTGAAATGGACATGTCATATCAAATATAAAATGCACTTGAATCTCATTAAGCATGTCCATTATGAAACTTTGGGTTTTCGGTGGACACACTAATAGTAATCATATTTGTTGAGCATGCTAAATACTGGCTAAGACATGTTCAATTACCAGAAAGCGGATTTCCAAACAATGATACCTCATGTTGCACAACCTAGACACGGTAGGGCGCAAAACGTTGATATAAAATCAAAAGACGCATGCGTAGAATTACTTCTTTGAGAATTGGTTAAATTCCCATTAATGCTAACTTAACAGAATACATTTTTCGGAATCTGTCGTTAATTTCGCCCATGAATTTGTAAATCGTTGACCAGACAGTTGTGAATACGCAGCAGATGACTGGCTACAGTTTGGTTTCAAACATTTCAGTAACAGGTCACAGAGTGCAGCTGCTGAAATGTCAATTGACAAGGCTGTCCACAATTTCTGTCACGAACAATTAACTATTGTTACAATGGAAACATATCACTCATTTACTTGTCTTAATTAGCCTACTTCTAGTTGAAATCATACTGAAATGTCTGACGATGTCGTCCTTGTCCTCTTTCCCCACTGGCTAATCGCTGAGGGATAGTACCAGCCCTGCTGGGATACCATGCAGGGAATAGAAGCATCCTAAGTCCTCGTGGTCCCTGGTTGCTGGCGATATATAAACCAGCCCACTTAATATATTGCATTGTTGTCTAAAATATATTTTTAAAGTTCTCAAACTGGTTTAAAGTAAATATGTAGTATATACTCAGTATTATATTGCATAATTGCACATCTTGAATAACAACTGCAAGTTGCTAAAGTAGTCCTATACATTTCAAATGTCCAGAATAACTTCACTGTAATTAAATGTAACAGTAACAAATGTTGTATGGGTATGCAAAGATTTTGATTAGTGACTGTGCGACGTAATCGGATGCACACACAGGCAAACAAAATCAACGTTGGCGAATATACACTGGAACTAAAACTCTTTGAATAAACATTCCTCCCCTTTCCCTCGGAACAAGTCTTGGAGCCTATTTTCATAAATGTTACTGTTGTGAGAAATGTTTGAACACTTACCAGATATCAGTTAGACATATGTTTGATAATAGTTTGGGATTGCATCAGATAAACCATTTTCATCGTTAAGAACGATGGATGGGGAGGACTTGTGTAGGAAATAGAATATACATTATTGAGAGGGATAGACAGGCGAGTTTATATCGGAAATATTGTATTCCTTAAAAACGATAGATTGTAGAAGATTCCGTATCAGATATAAAATAGTAAATAGTCAGAACAAAAGTAGGTATTGGGCTTGCATTAAATATGTGAAATGGAAAGATGTCATATCAAAAATAAAATACTCTTGAATCTCTGTGAAACTTTATTTTTTCAGTGGACACACTAATCATGTGTCACGTTAAAGGAAGCGTTTTGAACAATGTGCTTAACTATAATTATAACTGGAGCCCTTTTACTATTTTGTGTGATTTTCAATGATGTTTACCGCCCACTGAAGTAGAGCTCGAGCTGTTTACTGATCCAAACTCTTACAATTTCATTGTTTGTTTGTTGTTTAACGCCGCACTCAGCAATATTCAGAATAAATGGCAAATTATGTATCGAAAACTAATTCCCACACGCCCTTGACTAAGTTGTGGAACATGATCCAAAAGATTAAGGGCAATACACTAAATCTGAAATTGAAGGTGGGGTGGATGTATCCAGACTTTTAACTTCTTTAAAAGAAGAACATGTACATGAGAAACATTACTATATAAATTCATAATATAATAGAAATATCAGTATCATGACAGGAGAATTGTGCAAATACATATATGATCAAAGGTTACAATGAAATTTGATAGAAATAGTGTAACAAGAATATCGTACACGTTTTCAAACAGCTTCAATATTTCTAAATATGGTATTTGTGAATTTGGACAAGTTTTTCATATCTTTTACTCTAATGCTGGATAAACATT